TGCTGTACAGCCTGTGGAGTCATGACTTGCACTTTTTTGCCCCACTTCACCTGAGATGGGACAGAGTTGCATCATCAGTAGAGACTTGGCAGGGTTAGGCCAGGGACTATGACAGGTGCCACCCCTTTGTTAAGAATCTTCTCTCCTAGAGAGTTGTGTGGTCAGATAACAGATATTAGAAGTCTTCAAAACCACAGACTAGGTCCACTGCCACTTCAGTAAGTAACAAAGCCCCTTCAGGACTAAACAAGCATTACACCTCTGGTGTTCAGAACAGTACAGTTCCTCCTGTTACTCTCAGCTCCAAAGACAATCTCAGGTCAGTGGGAGGTGAGTTCTTTTTTCCAAACCTGACTTTAGAAGCTCTGGAAATTGAGTCTGGCCAACAGTGGAATTACTCTTTCTTACTCATATACCCCAATTTGCTCTGTATTTCATAGAGTCTTTAAAAGAGAGACCATAGCTGAATGAGCTGTATAGTTCTTTTTTGATAAGGGAACGAGTAGTGGGAAGAAGAGAATATTGTAGAAGAGTGTTCTATGAAATACTTATTTGTATTACTTCAGTTCCACAATTACCATTATTTGTAACATATGTATTTTCTTATTATGGAATCGTCTGGAACTGCTAATGATTTCATTTCTTTTTTTTTTTTTTGGTACCGGTGATCGAACTCAGGTCCTTGCACTTGCAAGGCAGGCGGTGGAACCACTGAGCTAAATCCCTGGCCCTGATTTCATTTCTTTAATAACATTCCCAGTTTGTTATGCTCTTGATGGTATCTCATTCTTTGGGGCTGAGTTAATAACTTTTCCCAGCCTGTCCCAAGAGCAGCTTATGCAGTAGTAGATCTTTAAAGACACTTTAAATGTTTCAAATAACTACCTGCCACTTCATGCCACTTTCTGTAGGCCATCTCTAGTAATTTATTTATATTCACACAGACACTAGGGAAAACTGATGTGCTAGTTTGTTTCATCTCACAAATGGGACTTTACTAAAGTAGTTGAGCCATAAACCTACTTCCCTCATTCTTAGAAGAATCTTAATATTGAGTACTGGCCAATCAGACCCCTAGCACTACAAAACAAAAACAGAAAATTGGCCAAAATGAAAATTTTTATTAAGATAATTTGATGATTAAATGTTTTTAAATGGTAAAATTATATAACACCAAATTTAATCAGCAACATCTTCTCATCTCAGGCCCTGAAGTTGTTTTACTACCTGTTAAGTTTCCTTTTCTTTTCTAGGCCTGAAATAGAACATTTTGAAAACCAGTGCCCTGTATCATGAACATTTACTACTTTGATAGTCTCATTGAAAATACAAAAATGAAATACAGAGCCTTAAAATATGATTTTATAAGAAAAGTAACATTTGAAGCCTTGTACCAAGTATATGTATTATAAAAGTAACATGCTTTTAAGCAATTTTTAAATTAGACACATTTAAAGTAAAAATGAAAATCCTTTATCTCTCATCTTCCTAGCTGACAGAATTTAGACTTTTAGAAATTTAGATTTTTAAATTTAAAAGTTCTTGGACAATCAAAATCTTTTAGCTTTTAAAATCTTTGGTAACTTTAAATCCAAAATATTAATTATACCTTTTTTATTATTGCTACTACTTTAGCCTGTTTTATTTCCTACATCACAGGCTAATAAATACATGACTGTAACAGATTGTCTGGAAAACCAAATCCAAAATAGGAAGTTAATTAAGTGAGAGGAAGCCCATGGCAGGATAGTTTTACCATGAAGAGGGATAAATTATAACATGGAATTCACCCATTTAAACTGTACAATTCAGTATTTTTCAGTATATGCAGAGTTGGGTGTCTTATGCATGTCTGAGACATTCTGATTTCTGAAGTTTTGAAATTTCAGTGTTTATTTGTAAAAAAAAATCTTTTTATTATGGAGAATGTCAGATAAATACAGAAGTAGACAGAAGACTGATGAACCCCAAGTATATTTGTTTTCCTCACCTGACCAGTCTTCTTTCGTCTTTCCCTCACCTCCTTCCTCAGTTATTTTGAAGCAAATTCCAGACATCAAATTATTTCTTACATAAATATTTCAGTCTGTATCTAGATAAGATGATCTTTTACAAATGATGACAATAATGTTCACATCAAAATAATTAGGGGTAGGCATGTAGCTCAGGGGTAGAACATGAACTTACATCCAGGAGACCCAGGGTTTAGTCCCCAGCACCTCCCCACAAATGAAATAATACTCTTAATATTAAAATAACTAGTGCTCATATTTCTAATAGGTTTATACTTGTAGAAAATAACTTTTATTAACTTGCAACTTAGAGGAAAGTTTGAAGTTATGCTAAATAATTTGTACAACTTTTTTTTTTTTTGGTACCGGGGATTGAACTCGGGACCTTGTGCTTGTGAGGCAGGCGGCGGAACCACTGAGCTAAATCCCCAGCCTGTACACACTATTTTAATTCCTGCCTCAAATAAATTTATATCCCTGAGTAAAATCCCAGGGACTACAAAATATACTTTATTTCCTATCTTCCTGGACAGAAAATATCTCTGACCTGTCTTTTGGCAAAGTGAATAGACCTCTACTCGACCTTCTTCTTACTTTCTCACGACAGTCTTTCTGGCTTGAGGCTTCCTGGTTGTACTCTTGTTTGCAGGCCTTAGGGAGCCTGGGCATTCTGTACTGAGGAAACAGAACGCAGGGCTGCATATTGCAGAAGTCCGTCTTGCCTTTGCAATGGTGCTCTTACGCTGTAAGTTACGCATTTATTTTGGGTGAAGGGGCGGGCGGGAGTGGGGAAATAATGGAATTTATGTTTGCTTTTAGTGCTAATGTGTTAGAGAGTGGCCTTGTAACTATAAGACAGTTTGTAATTTTGGGTTAAAATGATTTGCTTTTGAGAGCACCATTAGACAAGGAAAGGGACTTCTGTTAGCTAAATAACCCGTTAACTGTATCTCCCTAAGAAGATACAGTTAGAGCAATAACAGCATAGGAATAACCATAGTCATTTAGAATTTGGTGCAGGTCAAATCCCGTTACACATTTCAGTAGGATATCTAAATCCCTTATTTGTCTTAAAGCTTTTGGTACAATATATTAATATGTAATATATCAGATTACAGAACTATTTTTGCCCTTAACTTTCCTTGGGGGGAAAAAGCACAAGGACCTTTTAAGGGACATTTCAGCCCTATTCAGTGTCCTAATTAACACCTTACCCAGTTTTCTCACTGCTGGAAACAGGATGTGAATTTGCCTCAGGCCCCCACCGTACTAGGTTGCTCCTTGGGCTTGTTTGCTTTGTGCTTCACAGTACTGGAGCATTTGTTTACCAAGCAAGCATCAGGATTTGCTCGGGGCTCTGCGGGAAGACTAACATCACCAGAAGGAGACCTCCTGCTCATTGACCATTGAGGCGTAAGTCTAAGGTACATTCACTCATGAGAGTTTTGGAGTTAAGGAGTGGTAAAGCTTTATTACAGTGACTCACTTCTCCCTAGGGCTTATTACAGCATATATCAGCAAGTGTCTAGCATATTTTTGTAGTATTTTGATTTTTATAACTTTCATTGTAACGGGATTTAACCTGTAACATCTTTTCATCAGAAAAATGCAGATTACACAGATGAAAGTATCATGTATCCCCATTTGTACTTTCTGTACTTTGTACCAAATGTACTTAACTATATGTTACAGATATTACTGAATATGTGTCCGTGGAAACATTAGAAGCCTTTTGCAGATAGCTTTATGAATATGGATATTTGTTTATAGAGTATGACAATCATGTACTGTTTATATAAAACATGTATTAAAATGTCTGGAATGTTATTTTGGTGTATGATGGATGAGAGTGGTTGCTTTAAATCACGAGGTTTTTTGAATGCTGCTAGAGTAGCTGGTGTTGCTTAACATGGCATTTTTTCCCCTGTCCACACTTTCCACCCTTGGTACAGGTATTTTTGATAAGCTGTGGAATGGAAAGGTATGTTTTTCATGGGATGTTCAAGAGTCTCTTACCTTAAATTCTTTTAAAGAGGTTTCCTTTATGGGATTCCTCTTGGGTCTGGTTTAAGCAGACTTAGTTTACTTGTAACAAATAACATTTTTAGAGACAGTAGTTGAGTTTAAAATTTTGACATGACCCTTAAGTTTCTGACAACTTTTTCCCATTTATTAAAGATAGTATGAGAGTTTTTAAGTACTTGGGGAGGGGGGTTGCTTTGGAAATACACGATCTGTGCCATGAAGAAAGATGTAGGCTAAGAGGTACTTGTGGTATTTGGTAATCTAGTATGTTGTTACTACAGTTCTGGTTACCATTAATTTGCAATTTCATTGAGGAAAGTGGTATAAAAGTAACCCTTAATATATTAGTATATAAGATAATTTTAGGGACTTTATTAAAGTCACACAATTCTCTTTTTGCTGGAGGAACAATTCAGATTTGGCTCTGTCCAACTGAACTAGAAGGGTTAGTCCGAGAAGTGGCAGTTGCCTAGAGGCTGTGCCAGGTTTCCTGCCTGCACGTTGCTTTCTCCTCTGTCCACATTCTGTGCTAACCATGGCCATCCACAGGCGTGTTGTTGCTCTTGTCCTTGCAGGTTGGCTTGAAAGAACCGTGTAGCTAAATTGGCGAGAGCCTCAGCCTGTGCTTGTCTTTAGAAGGCCCATTTGGAGGCCTGTACTCTAGTGACTTTCCTAACAGTGAAATTGTGAAAGTTACATGGGGACAGCTGTGAGACATGCAGCTATTTGGTCTCAACAGTGCATCCCTCTTCTTGTAAAGAGATGAAGCACTTTCTGAGGCCTTGGTACTAGTGCTGGAGGCTGCTGGTGCCTTTAGACTGTGCTGGTCACATGGTGGGCTGAAAAGCCCTTGTTAAGAATCTGTGATGTTCTGTAAACCCTGACTGTTCTGGTGGTTGCAAAGTTAGTGTCTGCTCATTGTTCTCCATCTCACCAGAAGTGTTTGCTTTTTCTCATTCATAGAGGTCCTGTAATAAGGAGGGATCCGAACAAGCTCAGAAAGAAAATGAATTTCAAGTAAGTAATTCAGCCCGTTCTGCACCTGCATGAGATGTAAACTGGTGTGAGCCGACCTCACTGCACTGCATTTTGGCAGTGCTTCTTGTTTTTCTTAGAAGCGTTTTTGGTATATTGGGAACTACCTCACTGAGATAGGCAGGCAGTGAGGATTCTCTGTATTCTCACTGCCTCATCTTTGACAACCACTTCTTTCTAGTTCTCATCTGTTGTCCATTTCCCTGGCTGTGCCGTAGACTTTATCCCCAGAAATTGTGCCCCCTCTTCCATGCTAGCTTTAAGAATCTATCACTTGCTGACCTCTCAGCCCACTTTGGCACATCTGCAGCTGCTTCTCGCTGGCTGCCATGAAGACCTGCTGTCCAAGCACTGCCACCCTCTCACTGTCCATCTGCCCTCTCCACTTGCTGTCTGTCCTGCTCAGCTGAGAACTCAGATCTACCATCCTGGACAGGCCTTTCCTTTCTCCTTCCACATGTTCTCAGCTTGTTTCTCCACTCACCTCCTGTCGTGCTCACCTTATGAACCCCTGACCCGCTGAGCCCAGCCACCTCTGTGCTTCCTCTGGGCTGCATCTGTAGCTAAACATTACTAGAAAAAAATTACATAGTTGGGAGGGCAAGTTTCATTTTGGGGCGAGCAGCCTCTGGTGGACACCATCCACTTCCTGGGAGCATTCTCCAGCGTGTTCATTTCCTGATGGAAGAAGTCTGTTTCAGACTTCTGTTCACTCTTCAGACTTCCCTGTCCCCACTCTTAGTGGGCAGTAGAACTTCATTCTTTTTTTTGGTACTGGGATTGAACTTGGGACCTTGCGCTTTCAAGGCAGGTGGCGGAACCACTGAGCTAAATCCCTGGCCCGCTTCATTCTTTTTTTAAAAATGTGATCCTGGGGATAGAACCCAGGGAGGCACACCTGCTAGACAAAAGACCTACTGCCATGCTACATTCCCAGCCCCAGGACCGCATTCTTTGATGGCTGCTTATCTTCCATCCCTCAGCTTTCCACTGCAAGCCCTCTTTGTCTGCACTGTCCTTTCCATGGTCCTTCCCTTTTGAAGGACATTCTTTTTTTTTGGTACCAGGATCGAACTTGGGTCCTTGGGCTTGCACAGCAGGTGGTGAAACCACTGAGCTAAATCCCTGGCCCTTGAAGGACATTCTTCCCTTGTATGCCCCACTTGGCTTTGCTTTCTTCGAGTCTGACTTCTTGTCATCTCCCTTCCTTCTCTAGGTGACAAAATGCTCTGCGTTTATGCCTTCTTTGTTCCCACACCATCTCTGCTCCCACTCCTGACACATTCTTTTTTTCTCTTTAAACATTTATTCTTTTCTTATCTTTTATTTTTATTGGCCAGGCTTTGGAGGTGGGTGCTGGGGATCCTGCTGCACACTAAACAAATGTTCTGCCACCAGCCCCCTGTAAGATTTCCTGAGACAGAATCAACTGTGTCTGCTTTCTTCCCAGTCTCCTTTTTCAGAAAAAAGTTTTGAAAGCACAGGAAAGTACAAAGGGAAATGTAGCAAACACATTTATTTCTACTATACAGAATTGCTTACTTAGTTTTGTCATATGGCTTGACTTCAATCTTTTTATATGAATTTATTTTTAACTTTATTTCAAACACATTTTAGACTTATGGAACAAATTGCAAAATAGTACAGAGAGTTCCCATGCACCCCTTACCCAGCTTCCCTAATGTTCTCATTTTCCATAACCACAGTGCAGTGACCAGAACTAGAACATTGACACTGGTACAGTAATAATAACTAAACCACAGACCTGATTAGAATTTCAAAGGACTCTTTCCACTGATGTTTTCTTTTATTCTCTCCCTGGCTTTAGCCAGGATCCCAACTTTGCATTTGGCAGTTTCTCCTTAGTCTTTTTCAGCCTAGAATGGGTCTTGTTGTGTCCTCTCTTGATACTTACGAAGCATGCTGGTCAGTTACAGTCGAGAGCGGCCCCAGTTTTGTCTGCTATTTCCCGCTGATTGGAATGAGGCTGTATGTTTGGCTAAAGTACTACAGACTTGCTATGTTTTCTCTAGAGGCTTATACTGTCAGAATTCTTAATTTCTTTTGAATAAATGACACTTTATAGATAAAACCCTATTTAAAATAGGCATGATGGCATAGACCTATAATCCCAGCACTGTGGGAGCCTGAGGCAGGAGAATTGCAAGTTTGAGCCCAGCCTGGGCAACTTAATGACTGTCTCAAAATTTAAAAAAAATTTTTAAAGGCCTGGGGATGCTTAGTGTGAAGACTTTAGATTCCATCTCCAGTATTGCCACCCCCCCAAAAGTCATTTTAATCCTTTGCTTTTATCCCCTGTTCAGTTCCTTCTACCTCTTTTGTTTATCCTTCACTTCCCATCTGACACCTGTCCTCATCACTTCTCTGAAACTATTCTTGTTTAGTCACCAAGAGTTTCCATATTGTCATATTCAGTGTCCTCTTTCTTTTCCTCCTGTTGGACTCTGGGCGGTGTCTGATACAGAATGCCTTAAGATGGCAGGTATTGCCGGGGATTTAGCTCAGTGGTTTCGCCGCCTGCTGTGCAAGCTCAAGGACCTGAGTTTGATACCCAGTACCAAAAAAAAAAAAAAAA